GGTGGTTCAGATGTATGACTCGCAAGCTCTACGTCTCGAATTCGAATATCATTCATCCCCAGTGTGTTCCGAATCCGCATGCAAACTACTTAGGGTTATATGACAACGAAACATCAGGATGATGTAATGCCGAGATATTCCCGTCGGGATCAAAGAGAAGCACAAAAAAGGACGAATGCGAACAACCGCAGATTGCGCTGTGGTGAGTGTCCATGAACAAGATGGTACTCTCTCGGTTTTACCGCGCATTCGCACTGTGTATAATTCCGATCCCAGTGTTGTTGCTAGCTTTGGGGTTATGCATAGTGCATTTCGATCCCATCCACTTCGGAGAATAGCAAAAGTGGCATCGCTGCGTAAAATTTATGGCAATGATCTGTGCCACCTGGGTAACTCATGCTTACGCGATATCGAAGATTATCTAGAACGTACTTGAGATTTGATGCATCCTAAAGAAAGATTTGAAAGATAAGAAAATGCTTAGTCTCCTTCGAAAAATCTGTCCTTTCATGACCCGTCGATTTCGCTATTCTATACGTTAAAAACTGTAGACTGAACATGTACAATAATCAAATTTCGAAGCGGCTGAAGGGGCAAAATCCTACATGCTAATGAGAAAAGACAACCAGGAGATTGATGATCTTATGTGGTAACTTCAGACGCAACCTGGTCGCTTTTATTTTGGTGACCTGTTGCAGATCTAATTCCGAGGTCGCTAGGATCAACCAGTCCAATTTGCAACAGAAATTATTATTATTATTACAAAATTACAAGTAAAGTCCTGCTACTCAGGAGTAATTTAAAATAAATAACCTCTCCTAATTTCAAATGCTATGGATTTAGCGTCTAGCGAGAGGAGGTCATCCCTTGGCAGACTAGCTACTGTCAGTGACAGTGGAAGATAGGTGATGCTATATCCCAGTCAGTTTGAAAATGATGTAGCTCAGCCAACCTCCCCCATGGCTCAGTGACTTAAGCTGATGGCTAGTTAGCATCTGCCTCCAGCGGCAATCGGTTCGATTCCCAGTATGGAACTGAGAGAATGCGCACCACTGACGAGCCCCGATAGGGCGAAACGCGTCTGGTGCCTTTCCGGACTACACTGTGCTATGTAGCTTGTGAACTACCGGGATGAATACGTTAAAAAAGTATTAGTTACTCCGATCTCATCTCCCGATCCGTCAGGTTCTGTGAGCGATTTCAAGATGCGAGAGGAGCAGTGAGATCTTCCCATGTTATACAATTCCAGCAATAGGCCGGAAACTAGTAACCAACAGCAGCGACAATTAAAAGTGCCGGCTAGTCGCAAGCACATGACTACTTAGAGCGACACTTCTTGCCGACAAGGTTGGAATGACTGTACGTTACGTGGAAATAAGCATTCTCGACTAACTTACAAGTTCCGTAATTCCGTGTTAAAGTGCGGAAAGATTGGACATCATCAAGCCGTTTGTCGTGGCGCTATTGGTTGCTTTGTTTAAGTAGCAACTGGTAAGCAACACCTCTAATCTAAGGCCTAGTCCGTTGCTCTTGTGTGTTCCTCTGACCAATCATTCCACATTGCCAAACAAATTATTGTCAATGCGGCATAGCAACATTCCTTTTCTACAAATACTAGTAGCGTAGTCTTTTACTCTTCAGTACTACTGCAAAAGCCAAATACCAGAATTTGAACTTAGACACACTACAGTTTTTGTTAGAGGGAATATCGGACAGGTAATTCCTATTGTTGGTTCTTGTGAATTTTCTCTTACAGATGGTCCGTTTGATTTAATCCACACACCACAGATATGGTAAGTGGACGAAATATGAAGTGTATAGTGTATAATATACAAGGGCCGATTTATCATGAAGATCTGGATGCACCCCAGAAACCAAGATGAAACCTCAACGGCAGAGCAGTATGTCGTTGCAGTCGGAGTAGGCCTCCTACTCGTGCAAATCTCACGGGAACTGTGTTGATCGACTACAGTAAATCCAGGGTCAAGCAAAATTGTTCTTATGCAAACCTTGGAGTGTGCATATATCTGCTAAACCACGAGTTCCTTGTTCATGGCGAAAAAGAACTTTCTCAACGCACTAGAGTGCGTAATGGTAAGTATTATCGTGCAAATAAGATATGGAATGCGCCGGAAATACGTCAGTAGTTTGCACTGACGTTTCGCTGCCATACGATCATAAGCGGTTGTACGTGGGATAGAATACTAGTGGGGCATTCAGACCAATGGTTGAGCGGGGGCGCAAACCAGGTAGCAAGCCAAATTCTGGAAATACTCTATAGCAAGGATCTCTAAGACAAGGAAACGCACATGATTCATGGGTGATATTAAGGGGGAGTGAGAATGAGAACCATGTTGCTGGCCATTTAGAGGTTGATACGGATATTCGTTTTAGAGAGCCGAAAAATACGAGTCTCAATGACTACGCCGAAGTTGTCACGTGAACAATATCAGCCTGATGCCGGCTAGATGTCACTCTCGAAGGGATTTGGCTGCAGAGACAAAACACAGATGGGGTAAATGTGCCAAGAGGCTGTTAGATGATTGAGTGTAGGCAAGATATGTAGAGAATGACTGGGATCAGATGGAACTGTTTGAATGCGATGCAATCCAATCATCAAGTGTTTGATGTACGATCACTTTGCGGTAGCATCAGACCACACTTCTCTAGTGTCACTGAGTGTACTCCTTTGACTACCTGAAGGGTCGTGACAGATTGCACGAGGTTAATTAATGGGCGAGAAATGGGTAGACGGATTTTGGGAACGAGGCAAGGGGAGTAATGGCGACGTATTTCATCCCATTCAATGCGTAAATCACTTAGACAGAAAAATGAGTGATGGAGAAAGGGTAGTCGGAAAACAGAGGACGCACTTTCGCCTAAATGAAAAAGTGATGTGCTAGAGTACACTGACCAGGATTGGGTGTGTTGTATGACGCTTATACTACGCTAACAGTTCACAATACTGCCCAATGGGCCAGTACCATGGGAGGAGCAACAAACTGGATGGCAACGAGTCAACTATGGCCAAACTGACGTCCTAACATAAGCAGAACGTCCAGAGGCCGCAGCGCTCGATAAAGGTTTCGTACAAGACTACGCCAAACAACCACCAAGATGAGTGGAGTCGTGCGTAGGCGGACCTAAATTGTAGGATGGATGTTCGTCGGCAATAAACAACTCTTTGCGCCTTTTAGTTCTTGTGCACTGAACCAGCAGGTCCAATGTCTTTCGAGAGACTGATAAGCGGTGTGAAAAAATGAGAGAATGCTCGCATGATATGCGTAGAGCTAAGCCTAGCTAATACAGTTAGTCGGATGAAGAAAATCATGCAACTGCGTCACAAACCTGGTAGCGTCCTTTTATAAATGTCTACTGTCAAACGATGGGTGAGGGCGCATGTCGCCCAATCGAAGCGGTTAACCGTCACCTCCGCTTCAAGAGGCATCCTGACGCCACAAATTCCTATAGTTAGTAAAAAGTGTCTGGATATTGACAACAGGAAGAGATGTCTTGTCCCCGATAGCATCACTAGTAGACACGTAGCTCTCGAGGAAAACAAAGTGTTTCCCCTGTCGACGTTACGCACATTCAAAGGAGAATACATAAACAATGAAGAGCGCGTAGCTGGATCACAAACGCTAAATTTGGATTGTGGTCGAACGTTACAAAGTTCACTCCCTGTTGGCATTGGAGCGCATCAAAAAGAAAGTAGCAACACGAAGGTTTGGCGAGTTTGAATAAGGCTCCGGCGAACAAGATAGGCCGCGGTTTACCTTAATTCGAAGTACGACACCATCTGAGACTAAGCAACATCGTAACCAACAGTGTCAGACGTGGGTGCACGTCAATAAAAGAGCTGAAGCAGAAACAAAAAAGGCAGTGGATTTTGTGCATAACGTGAGTACTCACTTGTCAATGCAAATTTTCTCCACCTGCGGTACCAATACCTGTAGCAAGCGCATTATCGTTTGAAACGGCATCTTCGCCTTCCATCCGGATGCCCACGCTGAACTGGGAGACCATGATTCGCTAGAGCAATCGGAGGATTTGAGAGTTTGACCGGGTACATGACTTGTGCTTGAGTCAGCTGTCTTCGGATTCATATGAATGCTCGATGCACACGGGCGTGGCTCCGGGGTTTGGGGTTCCATCTGCTGATGCACACTCGGTCGCTTTCCTTGAGGATCGGAATCACCGTTGACGCCTATCTGAGAACAAAGATAGGATTACAATGCCGAAGGAGTAAGTGCATACCGACAGTGTGGTTCAGTTGGAACAATGTTTCATATGATGGTAATGTGCTAGATTTTTCAACAAATGGTCATGTCTGCGAAGTGTGCCGTCCGTGCTCGTTCACTGAAGCTAGAGAAGCCCTGTAGTCCGCAGTGAAGATCCGCATACGAAGTCGCAAGGTGTTAGAGCGCAGACAGCCCGAAGAAGGATGAAAAGGCGTGGATTCACTAAAAAGCGTACCCTGAACAATGGTGTTATGGAATATGCGCACAAGTCAGGACGACCACCACAAATACAGCTTTAGTTGTCAGGGATACATGAATGCGCAAGTAAGTAATCCAAGCACAGCTGAAACTCTCTCATAAGAAGGCCGAGTGGATCTGCAGCTTGTCGCCTTTTTGTGTTCGGTTAGACAGTAACCAACAGGAAAAATGCATCAGCATACTGCCGAGAAGCAGTACTGATGCTTAGCTGCCGCGCAACCACCAATCGAACGTTGGCGAAGGATTCTGCGGGGATCGCCCGATCCCCTAAGTAGCCTTGAACCCGCGACCTCAGATTACAAGGCAGGCTTGTGATCCTTAAGGCTACGAGTAGGCAGTAAATAACAGATGATGCGGCAGAACAACACTGATGCTACAGATGTCTGTTGCGGACCATCCGACCACTGGGAGTCTGAGTAGCACGGTCTAGAGCCTGGAAGGTGAACGCTAAGTTTGAGGTTGCTACCTTCGTGCTCTACATCATCAGTTGTTCATCGCTACACATTTTCCAATCGCTTCCGGCGAGCATAAATAACGTTCGAAGGGGTAGGCAGGCGGTAGGCTAATATATGCTAATGGTGGGTTTAGACTTAGATAGCCTGCGAAATGGCCCCTGAGACTGGTATAGATAACTAGCCCTGGCCTTATGCGATGAAAGCAGTCAAAGATAATTTTAACGGAAAGAGATGTAGAACAGCATCAGATGTGCAAGTTTAACTGTTTGAGCACGGAAGATAAGACGATCCTCAGTTTCACATCAGTGGGGTCACATAAACCAGATACGACGCATCGTGTTGTATAAGCAAAGGGGGAAGCGCAGAACAATAAGATTCAAGATGTGGCCACTTGTCGGTTAAAGGTTCACGTCAAAAAGTGTACGTCGGTGAGCTGAAACAACGAAGCCACAAACACTAACCTGATGGGCAGTTAGCCCGAGGTGTGCAAGCGAACCCGATCCATGCTTGTGTGCGGTTTTCGACCAACGATCCTTTGGAGGCGTATCTGCGCTACTGTCCGAATGCGATCGAGCAAAGCGAGATGGAGAAGAGTGAGATACGAGGGCGTTCTCCAGAGGTTGATTGTTTCCGTCAAGAGATTTCAAGTTTTTGGATGTTTCATCCGCTGCATCGGCTAGTTGCTTATCAGTCATGACGCCAACTTCCAGAGGGGCGACAGACGTGTGCGGCTGTGACTCAAGTGGGGCGCCACTTTTGTCCTGATGGAAAAGTAGTGTAAGAAGCGCATAAATTAGGAACCCAGGGTAGGCGACAAAAAGCCAATAGCATGTTACACATAGGGGAAAAGACAAAGGGAAAGGACAAAGCTGTGTAACAAAAAAATATCCATGATACACATGTGCACAGTACAGTTGTTGCACTGTCATGCTACCGCAAAAGGTTATACGTGGAGTGAAATAGTGTAAGAGTGCGCCTGAACCCATCCGAGAGCGCCGAGTCGAATTGCAGACTCCTGGTCGGCTACATTACGGATAATCAACGGAACGCAGTCGCGGTTCCTTGCTGTAATTTAGGAACAACAGAAACAATCCGTCCAGGGTGCTCCAACTTAACGGACTCGTGAACTAATTGTACGAAGAATCAGGACAGCTATTCCACTTAAGTTCTTCCTTGTCAAATACACTGTTTTGTGGAATAGCGTATCAGCCACTATCAGGTCTTGTGCAAATGCAAGAACAGTCTGCATCAAAACTTGGAAATTCCGCGGACTGGAACTCGATAATGACCGTGTTTTCATCAGTAGAATCGTGGAATTTCTTCCAAGTTTGACCGAGGAATACATAGCCAGTGGGAGAAACTGTTGAACAAAACTGAATACCAACAAAAACCATGTATTTCAGAACGCCTTTATAACGCAGACGCTACTGAGCGCATATTTCACTCATATATGAGCATGATAGTAGCTGTACTAATAATCTGTAACTATGCTAGGGACATTCGGGAAATATACGTTTTATTGTTGGTGCAAAGTGTCTTAAGAGAGCACTGTGGAAATGACGCGATTCGGAGAAGCCCAAAATTGAAGAGGAGGACAGAGCGCCACGACACATTTGTTGTTGCGTCAATTGGTCGCTAGCGTCAGGACTGGTAGACGGAAGGAACTCGTCAAGCGAAATCACCTGGTGGCCGGGGCATCCTGACAGTATCCCCGCCGGCGTACTATCTCTGGCCGCTGCATAGCAGCGAAGCACCCGTACAAAATGTCGGTGTGTTACTGAGCTCTTCTGGTCCACACTAATGGTATTCCTTGTCTAAAACGCTTTTGATTCTGATTTATTTGTGAGGGAAGGTTGGTTAGGAAGCGGGGCAATGAGTGCCGCCTTATCCTCAGGATGCAACTACCTTTCGACCATGCATCGGCGCATGAATATGGAATGAATGCTAAAACCCTTTAGATCCCACAAGCACTCCTTCTCTCTTCTTAGTAGTACTTCTCATTGGTGCTACTCTTATGTCTGTAGGGCAGTAAATCATAAAGGGAAATTACTGATGCACTGTTGCAACTACTGACATGACATAACCCGGACAAATGCGCAAAGCTACTTGGGATGCAGCTTTAAGACCCCAACGAAGAAGTGTTGTGACCTCCACTCGCTCGGCGTGCGTTGGTTGCCAGCTAGTGGCCGAAAGGATTGCGAGCATGTGTTGGAATCCTGACGCCACCGGTTCGAATGCGCATTGGTGCGGGCGACCTCGTGCGACTGCTAGTCGTCACGTGGCAGCGAAACGTCGATACAGTGTGCCGGAGTACTGTTGACACTATTTTATTTCTAGTTTCATCACAACTAGGTTCTTAGTACGCAGTTCACACTATTTTATTTGGTAAGTTTGCCATTTATAGAAGCACGTAGGGTCCGAGAATGTTATCCTGATGACATGTGTGATCAATTCTACACTGAGCTATCCTACGTGATACGGTCTTCACCGAGGAGCAACCCACTATTTCTGCTGGGTGATTTCAACGCGCGCGTTGGGCCTGACGCATCGGTGTGGACAGATGTTATCGGTTCGCATGGCATTGGTTCAGCGAATGCGAACGGTGAAAGGCTGCTCTCATTGTGTGCCACTCACGGCCTGACGATCACGAACACTCGGTTTGCACTGGGTGCGAGTGATATAGCAACTTGGACACACACACGGAATGGTCACGCTCACCTGCTCGACTATGTCATTGCATGTCAGCATGATATGCGTGAAGTGCATATGACACGTGTACCGCGTAGAGCTGAGTGTGGCGCTGATCACAAATTGTTGCGGACCAAACTCTACATATATTTTCGTAAATTTATACATTGCACTCCCGCCGTGAATCGGCGTAAATTCAACGTTCACTCCCTAGGTACTGTGGAGAAACGTATTGAGCTGGAGAAGGCAATGGCTGCCCGCCTGCGTGATGTGGAATGCATAGCCACAGTGGGCGACCTGTGGCACTACATTCGCGACCCGGTGAAAGCTGCTTTTGAGGGGACCATCGGGGACGCATACTGTAAGCGGCCTGATTGGTTTGATGAGAACAATGTGACGATTGGCGCATTGGTGTCGGAGAAGAACGCAGCATTTACTGCACATGTGGCAGACCCCAGTGACTTGGGGAAGCAGAGAAAGTTTAGGCGAATTCGATGGGGAATGACCCGAGAACTCCGTCGCATTAAAAATGCATGGTGGACGGAGAAGGCGAAGCAGATAGAGTGCTACGCCGAACGCCGCTAACACAAGGAATTCTTGGACTCCTTGAAGGCGGTGTGTGGACCGAGAATAGAGCCACTGATGATGCTGATCGATGGTAGCTCAGGCGCTACCTGCAGACAGATTGCAGATATAATGCAGATCTGGCAAAAACACAATGACTGTCTCCTGAACAAAAGTTCAAAGAGTAACTGGCCTACATCGAACGGCCTCAAGCAGCATGAGGTGAAGATGAGTCTGGCGGACACGCCGACACTGGATGAGACACAGAGAGCACTTGCTCAGCTGCACCACTTGGTGCAACACGTGTGGATTGAGGAGGAGGAGCCTCCTGAGTTGAAGGATGCCCTTTTGCTACCACTGTACAAGGGCAAAGAGAGAAAGCAATGCTGTATGAGTTACCGTGGCATCAAGTTGCTGAGTTGTGTGGGCAAGGTAATTGCCCGAATCCTGTTCAATCACCTCGTCAGTCAGGTTGTGGAACCGAATCTAGCGAAAGAGCAATGTGGATTCCGTTCGGGTCGCAGCACTATAGATATGTTGTTTGCGGCTCGTCAGTAGCAGGAGAAATGTAGAGAACGACATCATCTTTTGTATAGGTTGTTTGTTGATTCCACTAAAGTATTTAATACGATGAACCGCGAGTCATTGTGGCTGCTGTTGGGCAAGTTTGGGTGTCCGAGTAAGTATGCAGGTTTAAGCGAATGTCTACACAGTGGTATGTGAGCGAGGGTGCAGCTGTGTGACTCTGCAGTTATCTCTGGTGTGAAGCAATACTGTGTCTTAGTTCCTCCTCTGTTTAACATCTATTTTCATACCATGATGTCTTGTGCATATGGTGTTCGTGTGGAGCACCGCATTGATGGTGGGTTGTTGAACACCCGTCGTTTCGGTGCGAAAACCCTAGTCTGTAAGACAACTATCCGTATGTTGCTGTTTGTTGACGACTGTGTGTTGTCTGCGCATAGCGCGGATGAGTTGCTGCACATGATTAGTGCTTTGGCTTCGACAGCGGCCAAATTCGGGCTCACCATCAACACAAGTAGGACTACTTTTCTTTTCCAGCCTTCAATGAGAATGGAGTCCGTGGGCCTGCCCGAAATCCAGATTGCTGAGGTGGTGTTGGAAACCACTTCAAGATTTTGCTATCTTGGTAGCGTAATAACAATCGACCAGCAGATGAGGTGCGAAGTGTGCAGCCGCGTATCGAAGGCGGATGCTGCATTAAGCAAGCTGGAATGTCGTGTGTGGAAACACCATCAGCTCACTGTTGGGACGAAGTTGCCGGTATATAAGTCTATGGTGCTGTAGTTTCTTTAATACGGCAGCGAAACCTGGATGCTTTATCAGGAGGTCCGATATCTGAAGCGCTTCCATCAGCAGTGTCTGCGACGTATTATGCGCATCGGTTAGAGAGACCGAGTTACAGACACGGAGGTGCTCCGACGCACTGGCATGTATTCAGTGGACTGCATCAATCTCCTGAGGAAACTGAGGTGGCTCGGGCATATTCGCCGCATGGATTAGATCCGAAGACTGAAACAGCTGCTTTATGGCCGAGTGCAGGGAAACGGCACGTGGGAAAACCAAAGTTACGATGCCAGTACATACTCGAAGTGAGTCTATCACGTTCTAATGTTGATTGCAGGTCATGAGAACCGAAGGCGCTTGATCGGCAGACATGCCGCGGTCTAATCACAGAGGCAGTTGCCGAGGTGCAAGAGAAAGCCCTCGTGCATGCAGAGTAGAAGCGGCAAGTGCGGAAGCGACAGGCGCTGATGGGCTGTACTCCATCGATGTCGAGCGCACGGTGCTGTAGAACGTGCGTTCGGGAATGCTTGAGTCAGGCAGGCGTAGGGAACCACAAGCGAGGCCACTCAGGAGCAGCATCGAAACGATGACGAGCCCTGCTGAGAACGTAGGCAGAACCGGCGAGTGCTTGTATGCTGTTTCTTTATTTCAGACGATTGGTTTGCTACTTTGACTTAGTGTTATCTTCTTACCTCATTCTAATGTGCAACTGAATAATCTATTAAATTGAACATTTCACATAAACTAAAGGTGGTTAACTTCGCTTATTTGTTTCCTCCTTCCTACATATGTGTCGATTCCTTTATCTGCCATCCTGAATTTACCACGGCTATTTTGATAATGCAGTTATTTCATATGCTAATTTAGAGGCATAATCGTACGGTGTATTCGATCTATTTTATTTGATATTTCATTTCATGTAATTGGCTGTTGCCTGACATCCCGGGCATGGCTGCGCAAGTTGACAAGGTGCCGACCTGTCTAACACGCTACACCTCGGTTACTGGCTCTAGGAGATAGTTGGTCGTTGCTGGAGGGGACAGGGTGCACGCTCCTTGTGGCCGTGTTATGCTCGAAGAGTGATTCCATGCACTCAGTGTGGAGCGGACTACGGTCCAGCCACCGCCTTGTGTGCGCTTGATACCCCAAATACAGCGTGCTTGTGTTTGCCTGCGAAGAGTGTGGGCCGGCTCCGCTGTTGAAACGTGGCTCCCATGCACATGCCTCCCGGTCTTATTCCTACGGGTTTACACCGGATATGGGGTGTGTTGATGGAACTGTGGGCGGTGCAGCGCAAGCCATCCATGGTCCCTCTGTAAGCGCAGGCGTCTTGTGGCTGGCCACAGTGACAGGCAAATCCAAAACTGGTTGCCGCCAGCCATATATATATATATATATATATATATGCTCTAAAACTTAGCGATGCAATAAAGACCAAGACGGAAGGCAGCCTGTCATCTTTCTCGATGTGGTCCTTGGAACCGGCTGCGCGAAAGGACGTAGTACAATCACGAAGTGAGTGGTACTCTTGCAATAGGTTCATTATTTCACACTTCTAGCTTCATCACTCAGCGATTGTAGCTACTGTAAACTAAGTACTTAGGAGCACTTGACGATTGTTCCTTGCACTACCTTCCAAATCCGATGGCCTAGCACCGATCCGTAAAGGCACCAGACGGTCGTCTCGTCCTATTGGGACTCGTCAGTAGTGTGCATCTCAGGCACCAGCAGAAATCAAACACATTAGCATCAGCGGCACGCGCCACTCAGCGACGGGTGATGGAGGCGGACCGCCATGAATAGTGGAAGCAAAGATCCACTGGATATTTATCTGTGTCACTCCATCGTAGTCAGATCGGGCACGTGCGCAGAAGCACGTCACTGGTTCCTGCGCGTTTGCAATATATTATAGCCTCTCCATGTACGATTCGGGTGCGAGGCGTTCCCTAAACATAAAATCCGCAAGGTGGGTGCCTAGGAATTCCAATGAATTCCGAAACCGATTTCACCTCGACTAGTTTCACCGGCAAACTATTCCGAGATTTCACCACTCGACTTCCGAAGTATTGAGGATGAGCTACACGTTCCAGATCCGGCACTAGAAGCTTGTACCGATGGTCACGAGTACTGCTTGCTGCAACAGTGGCTTCAGAATGAGAAAGTGGTCCAGATGTAATATCCGGAGTGCTAGTATGAGCTCCACTCAAAATCAACGATATGACAGGTTATATAGTCGTAACCGTCTGCATCGGTCTTCGCACAACATACCCTGAAAAATGGGGATAAGTCTGGTAAGTAAACATGCGGGATCCATTCGAGTCCCTGCACCTTGTCACGGGTGATCCGTACTCGAGCCTCAGTCTTATGATGGAAGATAAGAGGTGCGTGGCAATCTCTTCAGACCGAATGCAGTAGCTGCGTATGGGCGCACAAAGAATGCGCAGTCCGTTTGTATGTAGCTTGTTCGTGTTGACCACGGACTGCTGTTACTAATTCTTAACAAATTCTTATCATTAGCTTGGTAACGTGCGTAATAGGAACTGGATCCACCGTGCCTTGGTGCCTTGGATCCCAGTTAATAAACCGAACTGAGCCAAACTACCAAGGTATAAATATGATACACTGACTCACGTTGTGATCGCCGTTCACTGAATCATCGTAATTCGATAACTGGACTGATTTGTTAGAAGAATTATCCACGGACAGTTCACGTTCCGAGTGCTGTGCAACAGGTGTGTCTGTAGAACGTTGTGTGTTGACCGAATTATGGGTTCGTGTCTTGGAAGTTGAGGTCGCTGACACATGTGATGGTGACGATTGTGGAGTTGACAGAGCAGAGCTTTTATCAGCGGGCTCGGAACGGCGACTGATAATACGTTGGATACTGACTTTATCCGTGGGCAAATTAGCTAAATGGTAGAAAACCTGGCGGTTCCGAATGAGGGTATACACCAAATTGCTGTTGCCTATGAAGGGAAAGAACCAGAGGTAAGTAGAAGCATGGGTCATATTAGCAGACAACAAGAAACGGCGAGTTCCAACTCGAAAAGCGTTAGAGAACGATGAAACCTAGGCTAAGAAACGAACATAAATTCCTCGGGCTCCATTTGCGCAAGTGACACAGAAAAATACGAGGAACTGAGGTTAGCGTGTAAATACTGAAAGTGATGGATATACAGATAAGACTAAAATCTATCTAATGGACCAAGAACGAGCATCAGATTAAACACCATCGATCACGATTCGGAGAAAAAAGAACAGTGGAAAAACAGGTAACATGAGCAAACACCACTCGGCCACTGGTCGAGTGGTCTGCGCGCCTGGTTTGCAACCATAAGGTGACCGGTTCGAATCCGCGTAGGGATTGGCGTCCACGCGGTATACTTGGTCCGCGTGCGACTTGTGGTGGTCGCGTGGCAACGAAACGCCATTACGGCGCACAATTGGTTATTTATTTTTATTATTATGCCCGCTCCAAAAACTGCATCCCAAGATCGGTGTCAACCTCACTGGCGTTATACGTGCAAACATGGCCGGAGCTGAGAGTATAACTGCTCGGGAGAAAGTAAGAATTGCCCGGAATATCCAATACTTCGGCGATTGTTAACGAGTATCGCATCGATTTCTAACTTTCTGTTCTAAGGCCTCTTGAATCTACATGGAAAAACTATTTTGGTAGCTAACCTTCTAATTTTAGAAGTCGAAGGTCATGAGGCGACCTATAAATATGACCATAGTCTGACGCCTTTGTACAGTACCAGTTTGACTGCGGTTAACCAGTTATTTTGGGACAAGGTCGTTTTGACTTTTTTCTTCGTTTGGGTTTGAAGTCGTGCGGAATAGATTAAGTGCATGTTTCGGAATTGCAGCAAGTGAGAAGATTTAACAATAACTCTATGGCTTCGACCGTGGTCTACCGTTGTGTAGCCATTGAGGAGGTATCCAACAAGATGTGCAGCGACAGGTGCACAGGAATACTGACGGACGTGGGGGGGGGCTCACTGTGGCGCGGTCAAAGTTGATTGTGATGGCGGACCCACGTGTCATCACCCACGAAGACATCACGTAGCATATGACCCCGACAGGCCATCACTATTGCTTTGATTCAGCGTAGATGACTTGTTCGATAGTCGCGAGTGTATACCGGGGCTCCAACGATGAATTCATTGTGTTTGGTGCAGGTAGTAGATCGATTTGATGGCTCTATGGTCGGAATGAACGCTTCGTTTGAGGTGCGTAGCTTGCGGCTCATCAGTGCTTCAACCGGAGACAGGCATGCTGGAGCAGCTGAATTTCATGTGGACCGGTAAAAGAACAAGAACGCTTGAAGGCATTCATCTACGGTCCCCTACCCACGAGATTTCAAGAGTGTCCTATTGAAGGTTTCAACAAACCTCTCCGATTGACCATTGGACTAGGGATGGTAGGGCGGTGAACGTAGGTGTTGGATGCAAAGCCAGTGACAAAAGTTTTCGAACATGGAAGACGTAAACTGGAAACCATTGTTGGACACCAAAACGTCGGGAAGGCCATGTTGACTGATGATTCGTTGTAGGCAACTCAGCGTGGAGGATGCGGTTGGTGGGTTGCCGGCGAGCACTTCAAGTCAGTTGGAATAGGTGTTGACCACGACCAGGTAGGAAATGCCATCAATCGGACCAGCACAGTCGACGTGCACTCGAGACCACGGTTTTTCTGTTGGCTGCCAAGGAACTGGTGGTTGGTATGATGGCATCTTGGGTGCTTGTTGAAATCTTGAGCAATAGTGAACCAAAACTTCTATGTCGTTGTCAATACCAGGCGCGTACACATAACCGCAGGCGATTGCCTTCATTCTGTTCATATCGGGATGAGCAGAATGGAGCTGGCGGAGTATAGCTTACCGGAGGCATGAAGGAAGGAGAACTCGGTCTGTAGTCAAGAGGCAGGAATCGATTACGGAAAAGGAGTAGCGGCGTTGATAAAGTTGTCTTAGTTCGCCAGAAAGGACAGTGTTTGGCCAGTGCGTCTGAAGATAAGTGACGACTTTCTGCAGGATAGGGTCTTGAGTAGTTGTACGTGGTATGTCGGGAGCCGTAATAGGGAGACTTCGGACAGCGTTCGAGAGTTGAGGTTGAAGGTCGTCTTCTACGGCAACGGCGGCGATCACCGTGTCTTCTTCTGTGGCATGTCATTTCCACCATCGTAAAAAAACAGTCGCATAGCTATTTTGTTTCCTATAATAAGCATATATTGAATGTAGCATTTCTGTTTTGTCCATTGCGCCAATGGCTGAGTCGTAATCTTGTACTACCTTAGGTGCCACTAGGTCGGCCATAGTTCCAATCCGCTCTTTATGCCGCACAGTAATTGATTCACTTCCATAGTAATTGGACAACAGATGAACACACTTGTTATCTTTCCACTTGAAGAACAAAATTACTTGACCAGTAGAACGATAAGCAAAATCACCTCTCTTCATCTCCTTGTCATTTTGAAATTTAGGAAGATGTTTCCTGTTGGGACGGACAGTTCCGTAGGCAAAAATGTTGTTCACCTTCAGATGATCAAATAGTTCCACAGCTGTGAACTAAGTATCCATTACCACTATAGAACCACTTCCTTTCAGAGTTTTGGTGTCTGTCCACAACATTTCCCAAAATCCAAATCTGCCTCTAGTATTAGGGATGTCCTGTGACATGCCTTGATAAACTTCAAACTCATAAATATAACCACTTATATCGGCTCGAGAACATAGTTTATAACCACGTTCAACTGCCTTCATATCACAGCACATGTATATACGATATTAAAAATGAAGATATTAATGACTGCCAAATAAATTACTTACTGTTACAGGAATAAATCGTTCAAATCTCCTAATTTTTGCGCCCCACCCCATCGGTATGCACAGTAAAGACTCTAACAGTTGATATTACGCCTGATTCCTGACGGTAGTTTCTGGCACTAACATATATGTTGAATGAGTATAATACGGATTATGCTTAAAATTGCAAAATAAGTATACCGAGTCATGGCATGTCCGCTATAAAAACAAATAAAAATTAATAGGACTCGCAAGCTGCAACGAAACCAATTAAACTTTAACAACTAGTGCAACCACTCACAGATCTCAAAAAGCAATTTTCGGCCACGCTCGACATGAACCACAAACGTTAATTCCACACACTGCAGAACAAAGTAGCATAGCATTGGCCGTTATCGATTTATTAACAGCAGGCTGTTATACGTATCCTAGCGAGTACCGGTAAGAATAACGCTTCCATTTAAGCAATATTACAATGTAAACAAAGTGGTAATTATAAGTACCGCCAGGACACAAAGGGGGGTTAAGTCTATGATCATTGCTGCCTGCGAAGCATCGTTGGTGTCCAATAGCACCAGCCGCAGGTGGAATCAGAAACATACTGGCTCATTTTTAGTGTGGTGCTATCGTGATGAAAACACTAAAAACTGAGGCCAATACATCGTTTGAATCGGACACAATGTCATACTTTTCCGTTTTCAGGCTATCTTCAGCAGCGAGGTCGAAGCAAACAGGTGACGGTGAATGAGCAAACGGATTGCGTGATGACAGCGTTGAAAGTAACCGGGCTATCGACAGCACACGGGCGCGAAAGCTATTAGAATGCATCAAAACGAAATTCGGTCATGCATGGTGTCGGGCATGCGATTGAACCAAATGTCAAAAACCATTGACGGGCAACGCACAACACACATCAATTGGTTCCCACCGTCTATCCGCATTGAACAATGTCATGCGTGTCCACCTGAGTGGATTTAGGATGTAACAAACATATCGGTTCCGAGTTGCAAAAAGAACCGACAGGCTGACAAATAACAATCTGTGACACTTCCGAAACGCCCACAATTATTCGTTTTTATGTGTGGAGCAAGCAAAGTCTACCCCAATTTGAAAAGCCAGAGCCACACAATTACAACATGGGCAGCCTCGTCGGTAGGAGTTGGACAGCAAGAAGGGGGTGTGAATCAAGAGAACAGGCAGTCTAGGGGGACAACTTATTCTAGAGGAGGATGATACACATGTGGCACAATGTAAGGACACATATTTGCATTAAAACGAAGGTTAAGAAGAGAAAATGGTATGTAACTAAAAGGTCATGCAACATCGTGACTCACCGTCGAATTGGTACTGAATTATGTTGTTGAAGACCTCCAGCAACAAGAACACTAACTGATAATGTGTCGGAGCAGCGTAGAGAAAGCGCGGCTGGCTAAACGCCTCCAACAAATGAATCAATTTGTTAGCGGTCACCATGGACAGTGTCTTCAGGTAAGGAGAAACTAAAGGGAGAATGGGTAGAGGGTTTGCCAGTTATCGGATACTGCGAGAAAAAGCAGACAAATAGCAAAACTATAAACGCTACACCACCGCAGCTGGTAATGAGCCCGCCTCCGTCACACGTGGTTCAATGGCATAAGCCAATGCCCGCAAAAGGATAGATGGAGGTCAGAAGTTTGCAGGACTTAATGACAGTGCGTCGCATCACTCTAAACTCTCACTCGATTTGTGATCGACTTCAAACCATTGATGCCTAACACAACACCTGCCTCCGGCACTAACACCTTTCCGTGTGTAGCAATTGTCATCCCATTCGCTCATACCCTTTAATAAATACTGTTATCGTTTCTAACTCAGCATCATCTACACGTTTTCTCTTCGCTTAGAACGCTTACAAATTAAGAAAGCTTACCTAAATGGTGCGCTGCAACACTCAAAAAACGTTTGGCGTGATTCTCCCTTGCTCTCACACCGCCTCGATATTCCCGACATCTGGCTGCGCACAGGATTACAGCTCCACCGCACTTTTATTGCCCCGGCCTAATGGTTCTCCACCCATTGAAGCGGACCAACACTTCAGTTAAAATGCTGCTGCTTCTACTTGCATTAATTCGCGCACAAGTCGTGCATACATGGAGGGTATACCAGTGGTGCGTCGCAACACAGTAGTCCCCCGTGAACCGTCCCTTAATCGACCTCTTTCTTCGCACTGATTGACTCTCTTGCTTCTCTCCTCACTCAAGTACTGTAAACGACATACTGAACGGATTGCTAATGAACTCTCGAGTAAAAGTGCCTGTATCTGACACATCTTTTAGCTGCACAGGCATGTTATGTATGGAATAGCAGCACACCCACAATAGTGTGGATCTATGAGTTTTTCATATGCGCCCCAGTTCGCGTGGCATTTCGGCGTTATCCCCTTCCAAAAGCTCTAGTAGAAACAGTCCAGTATTATCAGGTTGGATCGCTTATAGGAACCGTATGGAAACCGCAGGTCAAAGACGAGAAAAGTATACGGACATTGATCAGGATCGATGCTTTGTCAGTCTTATTTCTCAATGTTGAGTGATGCAAATGCCATCCCACATGTTAAAGAAGGTGCATTGTTCGCCGATGATTCAAGTAATAATGTCATTCGATATTATCCCGAGATGATAAGATTAGGTTAATACGTGGACCCTTACATCCATTTACTTTGCGGGTCACTTTTGTGGACCGGATGCATTGTGTCCTCAAGTAATTCAGGAAGAAACTATAATGCATTACCAAGGATCAGCGCTCTACACGCCTTCATTTTTCCCCTGCGATGCCTGACTGTGCACTCATTACTATCACATTATATGAAGTAAGAAAGAGTCGGACCTCTCACCGCTCAAGAATGCATCCGTCCAGTGAACGTGACACCTGCACCTGCTTGCTAAAAATGCACCCAGGAAATATCATCTGCAGGATCGAATGGCCTCATTCCGGGACTGACTAGGGAAACTCTATGCATTAGCTTGATAGGATTTCAATCGGAACTCCCCAGCTCGATACTTTCATCCTCGCTACACGTATGGAAACAAACTCATCCATTAGCTTTGGGCCAATGCTCCGACGTATGACTTTACGGTGTCAACTGAAGCTGCATTTGTAAACTCCGTTTCACAATCAACGTTTTTAGCGCATCCAGTATGTTGTCTTAAACAAATCTCATACTTGAAGCTGGCCGATCGGCCACGGACTCACCAAATAATTACTCACAGATTTCGAATTAAACCCATTGTCTGGCTCCTCTATTCATGATATTTCAATATGAGCCAGGCCTTATAGTTAATCGGAAAGTATCATTATCTTGGCAAGTGAACACCATTTCCAGATTGAAGAGGCGTGTTTCTTGATACGTGAAGTAGGCTCCTCATAGACCTGACCAGCAGAGGTGACCGGATTACCAAGGTAATATAACCGGTCTACCAATTCCAGTGAGTAGTCTTTGATAGCTAAGGCCGGTGGCGTATCGGTCCAGTCCTGCAACAGTACCTTGCAGGGTGCAAAGCACCAGCCGAAGCGTGTAGCGCTACGCACCACTCTGTTCACTAGTGCTTGCATAGCCACAATAGTAGACTCAAGGACAGCTGTGATCCGCAGACCAGAGATAAGTTCCGCTCCGTTCGATGGCCTGTCAGGACTTCCGCTACCATGCTAATAATAAGTAGGGCCAGGGAGAATAAGGAGCAAGGCAGGATATAAACGCGTAATAAGGAGAAAACGTTAGTCCAGATAAAGTAGGCTGGAAACATGGGAGCGAAAGTAGGAGAACTACTGGTTCCATGACAACACTTGTAAATGATGCGGTGGGTTCCGATGCGTCGATCTGCGAAGGCCACATCTACCAGCCTGTCCAATGTACCGGAACAACTTTTCTCGCTTTTTGCCATGTCATCAAGTGGCCATCCCACGGTTCCATATAACTGGGTGCAGCGATAGTCAGTCAGCTGGTATATGCAGATGACCTGATCAACCTGAGCGGTTTGTTGGGCGGAAATCCCAACGCGACGTCAGAGGACCACGTTCCAAACGGAAAATCACGGGCATCACTATTGTTCGACCGGTGCTTCCAACACATGTAACAATGCTTCCTGAGTATCGACGATCAAAGACGACCGAGCTGTTGATGCTGTGTACCCACACCTTTCGATAATTGGTCAATGTTTCACCGTCTCAAAAGAAGAACGAAGCTATGAAAAGTGATGCGGCACAAACTAACGGCATATGACAGTCTCCAAGAACCAAGCTAGCAGACTATAGTATCGGAAGCTGGTAGAACGAATCGTCGACATCGCTGAGCACAAACAAACAGGAAACAGGAAGACTTACCATTAGCAATGATCGTTATGAGACAATCGAAGAGAGGTTGCAAGCATCGGTGGCCATTGGTGATGAGTTTGTGAAAGACCTGGGAATAGGGACACAACATGTACACGAGGTATGATGATGGAACAAAGGCTGAGGTACACCAAGTAACGCATCTGAGATGATAATATTTGTGGTGGAACGATTGACAACCATTCCGAATAACCGAGACGCAACAAATTGGAATTGATGAGAGCGGAAGCAGTAAGAACGGACACGTATCAGAAAGATGCGGACAATTGGACTAGTGTGTCTCATGATACGATGAGCCGTGCGAAGAGCAAGATGCGATAAAACAGTAGACCAGTCTAAACGGCAGCCGGTACGAAATAGAAATGCTAAAATGGGGACAAGTAATAAAACATAAGAATAGCAGAACAAACCTCAAATTTGATTAGTCGAACTTTGCATGAAGTATAAAATAACCAGAATAGTCACTGTTTGTAATATCGCAGAAATGGCTCCTGTTCGACTCACAAAGTCGAATAAGCACACTCGTCAACCACCGAAATCTCCACGTTTTTCTTTTGGGCTTTCCTGGGTAGGATCGCACCAATGGGCTTCTCTTTCCGATTGGCCGATTGCGGAAAATAGGAACATCGAAATGACCGCAGAATGGGACGATAATTCATGATTGACTTTTCGCTTCCCCTCGGGGGAAAATGCCGAGTTATGTGAGCTTACGTGGATGTAGAATGACCCACCCAGCCAATACCCATCGCACCACAGATTACCACACTAGATTTTTGACATCTGACAGCTTTGTTCACCGACGTTTTAAGAATCCGCCAAGCCAAGATACATAGTTGGAAGGAGTGTGCCAGTAATGAAGCTAATGCAAACTATCAGACATAAGTTAAATTTGCACTGAAGTTTTTTCCCCGAACTATAAAATAAAATGACGTAAAAATGAATTGACAGAATTATAACATTTCGGAAATCCGCGGACCTCCTGTAAGTATCGCGCGGACCGTTAAGGAGTCCTGATAAGTGGTACGAAGGAGGACGGGTCCGACACAAATTACGATTTGATGTAAGAGAATCCGATTTTTCTTAAGTGACCCTTGTTTACCCAAGGAATGCTCGAAGTGAGTTGATGTTGCATGATGCGCCGCCCCCACCCCAGGAAGTAAAGGCTTGATAGTGATCAGTTGCGTTAGTGCTTTTTCGCTTTCGGTTTTGAATCATCAATTAACAACTGTCGGCCCACGTACGTTCTGTAATCGTCACCACTTATTGCAATTAGTCTATTCGGTGCACGTGAGAAAGTTCGGTTTTGTTCACACCGGACCGAACCAAGCACGAGCGGTCTATTAGGCGCATACCACTGCGGTCAATTGTTGATTCTAACGGCAAACGCGTAAGCGGTGCTCGATTGAGCCAATGTTCCCGCGTGACTAGTTTATCAACTATCCTTAAGCAGGCCACTAAGGGTCATTGGGCTCCAATGTTTTTCATCACCATTTACAGGTGTCCAGAAACGAAATATTCTTCATTTTAGCGGATGTGATATCGGTCCGTAGTATAGCTGAAACGAGTGAAGTGCATCACATAACCTTCAAACCTGCGTGATTGGGTACATAGGGTGCACTGGACAAATCCATGCTAAGCGTGGGATGCTGAAGAACACAGACAAGGCTCACCAAACAACTATGGTCCGTGCATT